CCTCAGCCCGGGCTCGGGCCTGGGGAGGAACGCCCGGATCGTCCCCGGCTGCTGCCGCTGCGGCCCGGGCACCGGCAGCGCTTTGTGCCGCGGGGCCGGGCGGATCCGTGGGTGCTCCTGCGCCGCGGGAGCGCCTGGAGCCGGGAGCGGCACAACAAACCCGGCTGGGGATAATGGGATATCGCACTGGGGATAGCAAGGCATTGCAGATAGGCTGCGTTGTATGGCTTCGTTTCAGGGGAGGCTTCCTGCCTCCTTCGCCTCTTTGCTAGTCTGAAGCAGTTCTCACAACAGAATGAAATGTGTGGCAGGTCCGTTCCCTGTCACCATCTGTGGGGATGTCCACAGTCAATTCCACCATCATATGAAACAAATAAATTGGGCATTTTCTGGTCTCAGAATCGGAGTCTTAAGTCCTGTGGGTTTTTTTTTTTTGGTGGTGGTGAAGGTGAGGAGGGTTCAGGGACAAAGTCCCCCCCACTTGGCACTTGTGTGTCCCACCTGGCCAGGCCCAGGGCTGTGGAACCGGGACTTCAGCGCTGCGCTGTGGGAGTGCGGAAGGAGGCTCGCCCAGCCTCGAGCGCAGAGCCCGAGTGCCGCATTTTGGGGCCCGGGCACCGAGCCCAAACCCGTGTGCGAGCGCCCGGAGCACGGAGCGCTGGCCCGGCGCTGTCCGGGCCCGGCCCCGGCTCCCGGGGGCGGCTCCGGGGCTGCGAGCGGCGCTCAGGCGCTCCCGCGTGGGGCTCCGCGGCGGAGCCGCAGCTCCGGCCGAGGCTCTTCCCGGAGCCGCGACACTCGTGGGGCCTCTCCCCGGTGCCGATGGGCGGCGGGTGCCGAGCCGGGAGCGGCGCTGCGGGGCTCGCGGGGCCGGCGCTGGGGGCTCGGAACCGGCCCCGCCGCGGTCTCCGGTGCTGGAGGCGCCGGGGCCGTTCCGGGCGGGCAGGGCGGGGCCGGGGCGGGGGCGGTGCGGAGCCGCGGTGTCCGCTCCGGGCCGGGCGGGCCGGGCGGTGCCGGGGCGGGGGCGGTGCGGGAGCCGCGGTGTCCGCTCCGGGCCGGGCGGGTCCCGGCGGGGCCGCCTCAGGTGCGCGGGGCGGGGCCGGGCAGGTGCGCGGGGCCCCAGGGCGGCTGCGCGGGGCGGGCCCGAGGCGATTTAAACCCCGGGAGCGGCGCCCGCCGCCATTTGCTCCCTCAGTGCGCGGTGAGGCGGCAGCGGCCGGGCCGGGCTCCCCGGCGGGGCCCAGGTGAGGCGCGGGAGCCTCTACTTCCCCCCCTGCTTCTCTCTTCCCCTTGTTTTCTCCCTTCCTCTCTCCGCCTTAACTCTCTCCCCTCCCTGCTGCCCGAAAAGCCCCCATTTCTCTACCCCCTTGCTCTCCTCTTCCTCCCCCGCACACCTGGTCTTCCCCTGTCCCTCCCCTCCCTGCACACCTCGATCCTTCGCTCCATCTCTCCTCCTTCCTCCTCCTTACCCCACTCTCTTTCTCCTCCTGAATCCCCCTTCTCTCCGCTCCCTGTCCCGTCCTACGTACCCCGACTCCATCCCAGCCCTGTTACCTTCCCTCTCCTTTCCCCGGCACCCAGCCCGACCGCCCCCCATTCCCCTTCTGCCTTTCCTACCTGCACCTCCCTCCCCCTCCTCCCTACAAACGCCGACCCCGCTTCTGTTCCTCCTTCTCATTCTCCTTCCACCTTCTCTGCCCCTCCTGACCCAATCTCCTGACCTCTCACCTCCCTCTGCCCTCTCTATTCCCCCGTTCCAATCTCTGTGTCCCCTCCTGACCTCTCCTGTCACCTCCCTCTGCCCTCTCCATTCCCCCATTCCAATCTCTGTGCCCACTCCTGACACCTCCCTCTGCCCTCTCCATTCCCCCATTCCGTCTCTGTCCCTGTGTCCCCTCCTGACCTCTCCTCTCGCTGCCCTCTGCCTCCCTGTACTCTCTCTGTCCCTCTGTCCCTTGTCTCCCCTCCCTGTGTCCCGCAGCAGCCGCGGGGTTCGGGGCGCCGCACAATAAAGCCCCGAGGGCCGGAGCCGGCGCCCCTGTCTCGGTTGAAAAGGGTCGGGACCCGCTGTGGGTCCCCCCTTGCAGATGCCAACACTGCCCCACACTGCCGGGTTCGGCTGTCCCTGCATCACACTGGGGTCAGGGCGGGCCCCTCCTCAGGAGGGGTCCTGGGCTGGGCTGGGTTAGCGAGGGGGGGGAGTGGGGGTTAGGGGGGCCCCTCATTAGGAGGGGGCCGGGGGGGGGGGGGGGGGGGGGGGGGGGGCGGGGGGTGGGCGGGGGGGCCCCCTCCGGAGGAGGGGGTCCCGGGGGGGGTTGGGGCGGGCCCCCTCCGGAGGGGGGGGTCCGGGGTGGGAGGGGCTGGGGGGGTTAGCCCCCTTAGCCCCGCCCACCCCGGACCCTCCCCTCCGGACGGGGCCTGACCCGGCCCCTCCTCGGGACCCCCTCCTCCGGACAGGGGCCCCGCGGGGGGGGGGGGGGGGGGGGGGTAGCAGGAGGGGTCACGTCACTCTGAACCGCGATTGCACATTTGTGAGCAACAACAGCATCTCCCCCCCTCCTGACCCCCCCCCCCCCCCCGCGGGGCCCCTGTCCGGAGGAGGGGGTCCCGAGGAGGGGCCGGGCCAGACCCCGTCCGGAGGGGAGGGTCCGGGGTGGGCGGGGCTAAGGGGGCTAACCCCCCCAGCCCCTCCCACCCCGGCCCCCCCCCTCCGGAGGGGGCCCGCCCCAACCCCCCCCGGGACCCCCTCCTCCGGAGGGGGCCCCCCCGCCCACCCCACCCCACCCCACCCCACCCCCTCCCTGCCCCCTCCCCGCCCCCCCACCTCCCCAACCCCCCGGACCCCTCCTAATGAGGGGCCCCCCCTAACCCCCACTCCCCCCCTCGCTAACCCAGCCCAGCCCAGGACCCCTCCTGAGGAGGGGCCCGCCCTGACCCCAGTGTGATGCAGGGACAGCCGAACCCGGCAGTGTGGGGCAGTGTTGGCATCTGCAAGGGGGGACCCACAGCGGGTCCCGACCCTTTTCAACCGAGACAGGGGCGCCGGCTCCGGCCCTCGGGGCTTTATTGTGCGGCGCCCCGAACCCCGCGGCTGCGGGACACAGGGAGGGGAAGAGGGGACAGAGGGACAGAGAGAGTACAGGGAGGCAGAGGGCAGCGAGAGGAGAGGTCAGGAGGGGACACAGAGATTGGAATGGGGGAATAGAGAGGGCAGAGGGAGGCAGAGGGCAGAGAGATGAGAGGTCAGGAGGGGACACAGAGGGAACGGGGGAACAGAGAGGGCAGCGGTTCAGGAGGGGAGAGGGAGCGGGGTAAGAAAGAAGAAGGAGGCGTAGATTGGAGGGTCGGGGTGTGCAGGGAGAGGACAGAAAGGAGCAGTTGAAGGGAGGGAAGGGGAGATTCAGGAGGGGAGACAGAGCCGGGTAAGGCGTAGGAGGGGAGGAAGAAGGGGCAGAATGGGGGGTCAGGGTGTGTAGGGGGGCAAGGACAGGACGGAAGGGGTGTTCAGGAGCGGAGAGGGAGCGGCGTGAGGGCTGGGAGGGGGAGAAAAGAGGGAGAAGGGGAGACCTGGGGAGACCGGTCCGGCCGCTGCCGCCCCACCGCGCACTGAGGGAGCAAATGGCGGCGGGCGCCGCTCCCGGGGTTTAAATCGCCTCGGGCCCGCCCCGCGCAGCCGCCCTGGGGCCCCGCGCACCTGCCCGGCCCCGCCCCGCGCACCTGAGGGGGCCCCGCCCCGCCCGATCCCCAGCACCTGAGCCGGCCCCGCCCTTGTCCGATTCGCGCCCCGCCCTTGTCCCTCCCTTGTGCCATCCCGCCCCGCCCTTGTCCCTCCCTTCTCCTTCCCGCCCCGCCCTTGTCCCTCCCTTGTCCCTCCCTTCTGCCATCCCATCCCGCCCCGCCCTTGTCCCGTCCCTGTCCCGTCCCGGCCGCGCTGTCCCGGTCCGTCTCTCGGCACCGTCGCTCTCGGCGGGAGCGCTCCGAGCCCGGGGCGCTGCGGCGGGGCCGGGCCGGGAGCCGGAGATTCGCGCCGGCTCCTGCCGGTGTCGGCCGCGGTCCCAGGTGGTGCCGCCTCTCCCCGGCGGGCGGGTGCGGTCCGGGACCGGAGGACCGAGACCAGATCGGGTTGGATCGGCACCGGCACCGCGGCGTGCGGGAGGAGCCGCTCCGGGCGGGCGCTGGATCCGAGTCCGGCGCTGCCGCTGCCGCTCCTGCCGCGGGGAGCCGGAGCCGGGGCAGCCCCCGGGGTCCCAAACGCGGGGTCCGGGCTCGGCTCTGGGCCCCGAAACCGTCCCGGGCCGAGCCCCCAAAGGCGGCACCGCGGCTCCGCCGCCGGCCCCGGAGGCAGCTCCGAGTCGCTGCTCCTGAGCTCCCCCGGGGCCGGGCGGGCCCCGCACTGCCGGGCTGTGCCCGGGGCAGCCCCGGGGCCGAGCGGCTGCGACTGACGCGGGGCCGGACGAGCCCGGTTTGCGCAGCGAAGCGCGGGATCGGGGCTGGACTGGAGCCCTCCAAACGCAGCCCTCAGCCTCTCTTGGTAACGCCCAAGAACCGATCCAGTGAGTCTGGTTCCGAGCTCCCAAAATACAGCCCAGCGTCTCTGAGCCCGAAGCTGCAGGGCTCGGTCTGTTCCGAGCCCCCAAAGGCAGCGCTGGGGGTCTCTGTGAGCCCCAGAGCTGACCCGGGGTGGCTGAACCCAGCCGGCAGCTCCGCGCCAGCAGCAGGACCAGAGGGGCATCAGAGCCGATTTCCTGGCTCCTGAGGCAGAGGGTACCAAGGAGGAGGATCTAAAAACGAACCAGAACTTGCTGTTACGTCAGCTTCAGTCGCGACTTCTCATTTCTTCCAGTTGCAACTTGGTTATTCCATCAGAAGTGGCTTAGGAACAGCTTCTCTCTGTGCTGTGCGGCTCTGGGGCTGTCCTCGGCACAGGGAAACCCGTGCTGCTGCTTCCTGGGGAATCTGGGCTTGGCCCATTCCATAAAACACCACCATCAAACTCAGGAATAGCACACAACCTTTATTCCATAAAACATGACACCAGAGAGCCCCAAGCCCCAAACTTAGGAAGGAGCAGAGTCTGCAGAGCAGTCAGCTCCCCGGCCCCAGCCCCAGCCAGAGCGGCCCCAGCTGTGCAGCTTCCCCAGCTGCTGCTGGTCAGGAGAGGAAAAAATGGGCAAGAAAGACAAACTCAAAAAAGACAGGAAAGCAGTGAGGGTGAGAGAAGGGAAAAAGCTCCACAGCAGGCTCCCAGCTCTCCTGTCCTCTGCAGACAGGGCAGCACCCGGACCAGCCTTCACCACCATCAGTTCAAACTCCATCCTGGGGGAAGAAGAGGGGAAAAGGGTCTCTGCCGAGGCTGCAGAGTGGCAGCAAAGCTGAGCCTTGGGCCCAGAGATCTGCTCAGGGGAGCAGCTGCTCTCCAGGGCAGCACAGGGAGCCGGGCACAGCTGGGGCATGGGGCTCCGTGCAGGGCTTGGATTTCCATCCATCGCTCCAGATCCGCTCACCAGGACTCTCCCCAGGCATGCTGCTGAACTCCTCAGAGCCAATTCGGTGCCTCAATAATTAGCAATTCTAACAGAGCTGACACATCATCCCCTGGAAGTGGCAGCCCCCAGTCTGGGCCCTGCTCCAGTTTTCTTCTGGGTGTTTTCCAAGGAATATGCACACTCCAGGATGAAAGGATGCACACTCCAATGATGGCAGCAGGACTCCTGAGGGAGATGCATCACCCTGGTGCTCCAGGTCTGGGTGCACAGCACCCAGGTTGGCACTCACTGAAAAGATTCAGCTTTCCACTTGTCAAGCACTCGGTAATTGTTCTGCAGACATCTGTGGCTGTCTCTCCTCAACCATATTCCCAATAACTGCTGTGTTTTGGGGCTTCTTTAACTGTGTTCAACAGAGTTACCAACACACAGGCCCACCTGTCCTCCTGCCTCTTATTTCCCTTTGAAATAATCTCAAGCATGTGAGTTTTCCATCTCAGTATCACAGTGAGATCAGGACCTGCCTTGGCTGTTTTATTTAATCTGTTGGGAATTACCTTCCCCCTCCATCCAATTACATGGGATCTGCTTTCTCAGCAGGGCCATTTATGGTCATTGTCTCGGGTTTTCTGTACTGCTTTCCATTGTCCATTGCAGAAATTTTCATGCTTGCACTCAATAAAAAGTGACAAGAAGCGATGGGATGTGTTGTTAGCAGCACTCTGGGAGATGCCCGATTCCAGAAACGTTACCCTGTCAGCTGCAGCCACCCTGGGGGACACTTATGGGGGAGGAGGGGACAGTGCCCACCGTGTGGCATCTTTAGTTGTTCTCATCAGCACGTGGAAGGAGCCCAGAGGCTTTGCACAAGCCAAGACCCCAGCGAGGCTCAGGGCAGGGCCGGCTGCTCCGGCCCCTGCGGCTGACAGGAGGCTGTGCCTGGGTTAGGATTGCCCTGACCCATGAGTACAACCTGCAGAGATAAATCCAAAAGTAAGTCTGGGGTTCACCTGCTTTTTCAAGGATCAATGACAAATGCACAGGTGTCATTTGTTTCCTGCTCTGCTGTCATAAGCTTTATTATTTTTATTTCCTGCGCCAGCAAAATTGAGTCTGTCCAGAAAATAAACACAGTGCAGCAGAAGAAAACCTCCAAAGGTGGGAAGTTAAACAGAATGTGGAATATTGGTGGCTCAGTTCTACAGAACTGACATGAACAGGAGCAGCAGTTTGCCCGAGTGCTCTTTGTGCAACATTAGCTTTTCCTAGGGAGGCAAGAGGGGCTGGCAGTGCAGGTGTCTCAGGTGTAAATCTGGGCACATTCCCTGCTAGGCACCACTAAGCTCAGCTCTTTTATTTTTGCCGGGGTAGATGTGCAGTCAGTGCCTTGTTCTGTGCCTGAAGCAGCTCCTCACAGGTACTAGGAAATGCCTCTTCTTACCTAAAGCCAAAATGTTCTCACCTGGCCTCTGCAAGTTTCCACCCAGCAGGGAAATGCGATGAAATCCAAGTTTAAGCAGCGTCCAAGCCCCATGCAGGAAATGTCTGTGCCAGCTTTAGGATTGCACAGGGAAAGGGAGAGGGTATTTGCATTTCAGGTGGAGGAGATCCTCAGGTGGCTCTTTGGTTGCTGCTGTCATCCCAGCAGAGAGAACTGATCTGAGCAGGTTTAATGCTGGCAGCACCTCTGACCAGCCACATGGACACATTAAACTGTTCTCCCTTAGGGCCCTCTGGCCCTTGCCAACCTTCCAGTGGCCATGCAGATAAACTGCAATGCAAATTGGCTAAAAAAATCAAAGGGCGAGAGTAAAACTCCTGTCTGCAGAATTCTTGATTTGTGCTTGTGGCCATCTGCTGTTGCTGTCCCTGGCAGCAGTGACCTTCCTCTGCTGCCTCTGTTGGGGTTTCATTCCCTCACCTCTTTGGTTGCCACACTGGCATTTAAATGCTGCCTTCTGGCTATAAACTCCTTTTCCTTTTTTCTCTGTATTTCTCTCTGTATGGAGGTGTGCTGGAACAGAAATTTCCCCCCCAGCAGCATATCTGTCCCTGGAGACATGACACAGTCCCACCCACCCATCTCTCAGTGTGGGCAGCACCCTCAGCTCTAAGGAGCTGTGGAGAGCGAGCCTTGGTCCCTTAGGGAGCACGGAGTGATCAGCCCCAGTGACAGGGAAACACAGACAAATGCCATGCTCAGCCCTGAGCAGGAGGATCAGAGCCAGTGGCCTAAAACCTGCCATCATTATCTCCATAATTGTGCTGTAATTATGGAGTTCAGAGAGTGCAGCCCTTCCACCGAGGCTGGGGACGTTACTTAGGTGGTTTTGTGTCAGCCTCATGTCTGAGCAGCAAGAACTAAAAGGAAAATTTTACCGAAATATCTTCAGAGGGATTGCTCCAAAAACTGGTGCAGTTTCTAGGGGGACAAAAGATTGAAAAAGATTTCTGCTGAATTCTTCTCAGAAAGTACAGACCCACTGGTTCAGCTGTGGAAGGGATGGATGTGATGTACCACGGAAAGAGACAAAAGCAGAAAGGTAAAAATGTCTCTCTCCCATCCTTCCCTGAACACACTCCAAGGAAAAGGCTTCAGAGGATGAAATAACAAAGTCGTTCCTACTCTGCAGTTCAGCCCTACATTTGTCAGTGCTCAGTGCGATGACTGCTGCTGCTGGGCAGTCCCCATCAGAGGAGACTCCCCTTGAGAGCTGCCATGTATCAGGTGGCACCGGCCACAGCAGCTGCAGAGGCAAGGTCCAGCACAGCTGGTCTGGGAGAGGAGGCACCTCCGAGCACAGGAGACAGGAGCTGCAGTACCAGAGCTGCTGTGGGTGCCTCTGCCCCTGTGGGTGCAGTGATGGCCTCAGGCTGCAGAGCTGTGCACCTCTCGTTTGTCACGGTGACACGGCAGACACTGCCTTAAATGCTGCAATGTACTATCAGTGTGTGGTACTGCACCTACATCCCTGCAGTAACAGCACTGGCATATACATTCTCTTTTATAGGGGTAACTGTGTCCTGAAGTCACACAAACATGTAAAAAAAAAGGAAGCACTGCCATTACTGTCAGTAATACAGAACATAAGGGTATGCACCTCACCTGGAAACATCTAATGGTCAGAGCATTTCCATCCTGGAAGTGCTTCCCAGATGGATCCTCTGAGGATTTATAGAAGCGTGCTGGAGCAAAATACAGGCTAAACATATTTGGGGTGGAAGGACAAAAGAAGGAACTAAGACAATTATTCAAGTTGAGCCTCATCTGGGGTCAGTTCCAGGTCTCAGACAGATCTAGTGATGCCCTATTTCTGCTGCAATCCTCTTTCTGCACGGCCTGACATGGTGCTCTGGGGCTGGCTGCAAACTCTGCCCCTTCTGGGCTTTGCATGGAACCCTGCAGAGTGTGCCAGGCAGCAGGGACTCATCCTGAGACTTCTGAGTGATTCCTGTTCTGCTGGGAGCTGACACTGCACTGACAGCCAGCTCCTACCTGCTCTGCACTCGCAGCTTTGCAGTCTCTCCTCTGAGGGACACAGACACAGCAATGCTCTGGTTTTCCTGCCTTGTGTTCTTTGTTGATTTGTGAAAACATCTCTCAGGGCAGTTGATAACTTCTGGCTTTGTATTGCAGGCACAGTTTTTCTCCTGGTATCGGCTCCTTCAAAGCCTGAAAGATGAACTTTTTCCCCTCACTTGCCAACTTAATGGAGGTCACCTTCCTGATACTCAGTTAGATTGCATTTCTGCCATGCTGGATAGACAGGAATAAAAAGGAAAGAAAGCACAAAGAGCCCCTAAAACTGCCACTATTTCCCATTTTTGGCACTTTGTGTTGCAAAGAAATCAATTCCCATAACTCCCATAACCTAAAATCTGAGGTTCATCTAAGCTCCACTGAATGAGAATTAGAAACAGGGAGTTTAATTTTAATGCAATTTTAGGACTGAGACATAGGCTGAACTTACATGAATCTCATTGTTTTGAAGCTCCCTGATGCATGAGCTTTGACTTTTCACGTGACACAAAAAGTTGTCATTGATCTTTACTTCTTTATTTTTCCCTTCAGCCAGTTAGGTACTATGAGCTCCAAATTCCAGAACTGCAGCTTTTTGCCTTAATTTCAGGGCACCAAAATGATGCTGCAACCTCTGACTGTTTAGTAGAGGTTACTACACAAAATGAATGACACAAGTGCACGGGCAGAGTGAGAGAAAGGCGAATCAAAGCATTTCATCTACAACTTTTCCCCTTTTACAAATCATCTTGGAGGAATGCAAATCACCCTGTACTGCAGCTCACTTGTCTCTCAGTTTCTGCCCCATTAGGCAGTGTTGTGTCCCTTGAAGTCTTTTCCAGTTTCTGACACTTTTCTCCCTTCCTTCCTTCCCCCTTTGTCTGTTAGAACTCCGCTCTTCTTGCTCCATCATTCTCCCTGACAGACTCCTGCCTGCAGCTTTGGCAGAACACTGCTCTTTGTTGTAGTTCCTGTGATGATCTGTTTTGGTGCCCAGAGTGGCAGCTTGTTCCTGAAAAGACAGATCTGATCAAAGTGAAGATCTCTGCTCGCTGAATTCCTCATGTAAATGACTCAAACTCTTCTGTGGAGGTACTGGGAGCCAGATATTCCTCTCCTTTTTCCCACGAAAGAATGTGGGTGCCCAACTCCCAGAGATGGGGAGACAGGGCCAGGTTTGTGTCAGAGCAAAGACAAAGAATGTGGGAGGAGGAGGAGGAGGAGGAGACTCCTCCTGTCCGACCATGGCTGGACCCCGCAGAGCACGCTCGTATCGAAACATTTCCCTCTCCGATGGGTCTGAAAATATACAACACAGAAAAGTGGCTGTGATTTACCTCTAAGTGTGGCAAATATTTTAAATAAAGGGCAAAAGCCTGTCTGCTCTTTTTATTGCACAGAAAAAAGCAGCGTGAACAGATAAAATGCTCAGGCACCAGATGAGAGCAGACAGAGCCAATAAAATGAGAAATAAAGAAGGTGTTTTATTGTGCTCTGTGGGTGGGTGGATGGTGTCTCTGAAATCTCTCTCCCCACCTCCCTGTGCATGGCTGGATGCCAAATAGCCCTTCCCGTAATTGCTGCCTCGTGCTTGCTGGGCAGTTTGAGACAGAGCAACAGGGTAATGGCCTCTGTAAAACCCCCCAGTGGCCTCTGTAAAACCCCCAATGGCCTCTGTAAAACCCCCCCAGTGATCTCTGTAAAACCCCCAATGGCCTCTGTAAAACCCCCCAATGGCCTCTGTAAAACCCCCAGTGATCTCTGTAAAACCCCCAATGGCCTCTGTAAAACCCCCAGTGATCTCTGTAAATCCCCAAGTGATCTCTGTAAAACCCCCCAGTGATCTCTGTAAACCCCCCAGTGACCTCTGTAAAACCCCCAGTGATCTCTGTAAAACCCCCAGTGATCTCTGTAAACCCCCAATGGCCTCTGTAAAACCCCCCAGTGATCTCTGTAAACCCCCCAGTGATCTCTGTAAACCCCCCAGTGATCTCTGTAAAACCCCCCAGTGATCTCTGTAAACCCCCAATGGCCTCTGTAAAACCCCACAGTGATCTCTGTAAAACCCCCAGTGATCTCTGTAAACCCCCCAGTGATCTCTGTAAACCCCCAATGGCCTCTGTAAAACCCCCCAGTGATCTCTGTAAACCCCCCAGTGATCTCTGTAAAACCCCCCAGTGATCTCTGTAAAACCCCCCAGTGATCTCTGTAAACCCCCAATGGCCTCTGTAAAACCCCCCAGTGATCTCTGTAAACCCCCCAGTGATCTCTGTAAACCCCCCAGTGATCTCTGTAAACCCCCCAGTGATCTCTGTAAAACCCCCAATGGCCTCTGTAAATGGTTTAGGCTCAGCCCCTGTACAACACATGGTCAGCAACCCCGGCGTGTGGCCCTGGAGTCCATCCAGGGACCTCATGTCCCACGGATGCAGCAAGGCACCGAGCCCTGCTCTGGAGCCCCTCACAAATGGGCAATCAGACACTGCCTTCAGAGTGCTGTTCTGGGATAAAATGTGCATTGTTACCTCCTGCTCAATCAATTCAGAAAGTTTTGAAGATCCCTTTGTCTGTCTGAGACAGTAAAACACTGCAGGGAACATGCAGGAATGACTTGGGTGTTCAGGCCTTACTGAAAAGGAAGAGCCCTGGGAACCAGGAATGATGATGGTTAAAGGAACACCAGGACTCACTTCAGAATTGATTTGTCCTTCCTGAGATCAATCTTCACGTGGTGACACATCATCCTCAGGAGGACATCCTGCCCAAAGAGAGGGAAAAGGAAAAGGGATTTCTCTGAATGCCTACTCAAAGTTTTAAGAAAAGCATGATCATATAAAAGGAGTAATACCAAGAGAGCAGGGAATGTTCTGGGGGAAAAAAGCAGAGATTGTGCATTCCAGGCTAGGCACTGTCAGAATGGACTTGGCTACTGAGTTCAGCTGCAACTGCAGCAGCTGAATTTGCTGGATAAAATCTTCTGTGCAGAGAAAAGCTCTTCACACAGACTTCTGACAGAGTTTGTATTTTGCTAAGGAACAACCCCCAACCCTTGCCATGTGAACTGCACATGCCTTATATACTTATTTTGTAAAAATATTTCAGACCAATGTGGAAGAGCAACAGTTTTGGAAGGTGAAGTATCAAAAGAGAGCAATTGGTACAGCCAGCTGCTCCTCTGTGAGGCTGCACAGCCGGGGATGCCCCGATGCTGCTGAATCTTGGTGTGAGCTCAAACTCAACCCAACAGTCAGGACTCGCCTTTTTAACTCCTCCTCTCAGGAATGCATCCATTCACCACTTCCAGGTTGTGCCTACGGATTTTCATATTAAGGAATATTTTCATATTAAGGAATATTTGCTTCCTAATAGAGGTTATATTAAAAAGATTAATTTGGGGTATTTTAAAAATATTTATATAATCACAGAATAATTTATTATCCTATACATTCATTACTGATATCAAAAGACAGAGAAGAGAGCACCTCAGGGGAGAGGAGAGGCTGTTGTGACAGGAGGTTGTGTTTGCTGCTGCCTGGGGAGCCCAGCCCGCATCCCTGAGGCTCCAGGGACACACGGGAGCTGGATGTGCCTGGGCAGTTCTTCTGGAACAGCTCTGTGCAACAGGTGGGGCTTGCCAGAGCTCTGGAATGTGCTTCCATGAGTGAGCAGAGAGGAAGGAGAGCTCCAAAGCTCTCAGAGCACCCCAAAGGCTCCTTACTGTGGGAGCCAACATGGAGTAGCTGCGCTGAAGCTCCATGGAATGGGTTTGTCCCAGTCAGGGCTGAGCCTCGCTCATCCTCCGGGCTGCTGCCATGGATCATTCCCGTTCCCAGAGCCAAGGCAGCCGGGGGTGCCTCAGTGACCCTTCAGGTACCTGCTGGCTGGGCAAGGCTGCAGAGCCCCGAGAGGAGCTGAGCCCCTGACCCTGGCCAGGGCTCCACCAAGCCACAAACGCTGCCCCAGACAGAGCCCTGCCCCCAGAACAGGCCAGGAGCCACCTCCCGACTCAGCACCGTGTAACAGGGCTGGGAAAAACAGCAATTAACGCATTAATTACTGATCACCCAGGAAGAGTTTGTACAGACAGACACTAACCTAACCCGTATTTCACTGCTGTTCTCCTGTCTCACAAGGAGTGAGGCAAATCCGAACCTGCTGTAGCTGGCAGGTGTGAAGAGAAGCTCCGAAAGGCTGGGTTTGTGCAGGGTTTGCTCACTGACTGCAGCCTGTGCTTCGGCTCTGAGCTCACTTCAGGCTTCTGCTCACTGATTCCCCACAGACACCCCAGCTTCTCAGAGTGTCCCTGGAGCAGTCAGAATGCCTCAGTCAATCAATAAATCCAAGCTGAGAAACAAATATCCATACTCACGGCTGCAGAAGGGACCTGGGGCATTTCCAATTGTCTGAGGAACTTGGAAACTCTTGCTAAATCTCCCATTCCTGGCAGGGATCTCAGAAATGAGGAATCGCTTTTCACAAGTTACTGACAGGTGCAAGGCTTTCCTTTGGCAGGTCTCTGAAATAAAGCAGAAGTCGGGTTTGGTGAAAGCAGTTACTGTGATTTATAAAGCAACATTTAATATTAAAGCAGAACATGAAACTCCTTGTGTTTGTTGAGCTGTCAGATGGAAAAACTCTGACTGAGCTCTACTGAAACAGAAGACTTTGACCATTTTGTAACACCTTTGATGCTTCTAAAGGAGAAGAGATCTTGAAATGACAATTCAGATGTTCTACATCTAATATTCAGAAACATTTTCTATAAAAACATGTAAAAATCAAAGATTCCTTAATAACTACAGAAAGGATTTGGTATTTTTCAATAATTCTCCAATTAAAAAAAAAAATCTCAACTCAAAATGTTATGATTACTATCCAGAAAGAATGTTTTTTGGTGTCTGTAAATAGCACTTTAGTGCACAGCAGTGCTGAAGACAGTTTCCAGCAGTCTTGGAACATGGTAATCTTTTTTCCCTCACCTATTAAAATAAATACACACTGAAGTATTTATATGTATATGTATGTGTGTGTATATGCTGCTGTGCCAGATTCAGGCATTTCACAGCCAGACACAGAACATTTTGTGACTTCACACCTCCACTTAAAGCAGGAAATCTCACCTGACCTCACTCCTGTCTAATGCAGTTGTATCCAAATGGTGTCAGAATGTGAAGGAAAACTTGGACAAGCAGGAGAGGAGAACAAGTGGAAACATTCTCTGGAACACTCCTGCAGGGTGAGGGCAGCAGCTCAGCACTGGACAGGTACCGTGCCCTGGGAGACACCGCAGCTGAGGATTGATCTGGGCTGTGCAGGGGATTCCAGTGACCTGTGCTGGTGAGAGTGGCTTAACATCAACATCCAATTCTGTGCCACAAACCAGGGTGCCACATCACACCAATCCCAAACCTGAAAATCTCCACTGGCAGGAAAAGGTGTTCTGTGCTACAGAAAATTCCCTGTGAAATGGCTCCTGCTGAAAGGATGCCAGGAAAACTCAACACGGTGTAAGAAGAGCATGAACTGGGAGCTCCTCACTGCGGGTTTGATTTACCTGGGTGTGTTCCAGGGAAAAATAACAGTACACAGCACAGTGCATGGATACATCAGCCTGCTGCACTCAGCACTTCTTGCATGGAGTGATTAAAAACGAACCCCTGGTAAATTGTGCAGCAGGAATTTTGTACTGAAGGAATTAAAGTGCAGTTGCACAGACTTTTATAGTCCTTGCTTTCCCAGTAGCTGCAATCTAACAGCCCAGAGTCAAAGGAAGATGAGAATTTGATTCCTTGTTTTGTTTCCAAGGTGGGCCTTCTGTGTACAGAGCTGCTGGGACCTGGGCTGCTGCTGCTTGGTAGGGAACTGATGTTACCTGAGCAAACAAAAAATACCTACCAAAAATAACTTTTCATGTCTGGTTTTAGCACCTGCCAGCCGGGGATGCTGAACAGCGGTGGCTCGTTGTGGTCACACCCAGAAAGTGCCTCCTCCCCTCCTGTCCTCTCTGCCACATCCGTGTCAGTGCCCTGACTTTGTTATTTCTGAGCTGCACAGAGAGGAGTGAGAGCAGAGCCGTTCCCAGGAGAACAATTCCAGTTCAGGCGTGGGCTCCTGCACGGCCACGTATCCACAGGAGCTGTGGAGAGTCACGGGTGCACATCCAGGGGGAACCCTGCCCCCCATCTGTGCCTGTGCTGCACTCCTGAGAGGAGGAAATCAAACCTAAAGGCCTGGCAGCCTTGGAAAAGCATTCCCATCGTGACATCATCTTCTAGAAAAAAATAAATCATAGCCTATCTTTTTGCAAATTGGCCTGTAAGTTCCTGGCAGCAAATCAATAGATACAAATGAAAAATAACAACGCAACAACAACGCTGTGTATTATCCTGGGCCCCAGATGAAAGCCTGGGGAACGATCAATATGATAAAGATTCAGCACTGCCACTCTGCTGCAGAGGAATGGCAAAGTAACAGACTGACTTCAGAAGGCAGCTGTAAAACACACCAAACCCATCTGCCACGAGATGGAAAGAAAATCCCAAATATAAAACACTTACTCGTTTGTTTGTCTGTTTCTTCCCCCCCAGACTTCCATTAATTTGAACTGGAATTCAAGGAAGCAATTTATTTTCTTGCTGTTTGGAGGAAAAGCAAGGAAAGAAGAGAATCATCCATTTATCCTCAGCCCAGGAAGCTCAAAGACAAAAACTCACTTGCCCACCACAAGAACATGAAAAGGGGAGGTTTTCCCCCAGCACCTGCCTGCACTTTGTCTATCTCTGATTTTAATACCAGTTTTAGTTGGCAGGGGCACACAGCACACAAGGGACAGGCGTGCTGAGGAGGTGGCACACGTGTGGCACCTCACTGCAGGCTCACAGGGAATCATTTCCAGTGCCAGCTGCGGGGCTGGATCTGCACAAGCCAGCAGAGTCAGCCCTGAGGCCAAGAACTACGAGGTGACTGATCAAGCAATGAATGCCTGTGGTGTTTATTTCTCCCTGTCAGTCTGCAGCCTGCTCTTTGGACAGGCAGCAAAGCAGAGACTTCCAAGTCAGACAGTTCAAGGAGAGGGGATGGAGGCAGAACTGAGGGAGAAGAGGCAAAGCCACTGAGGACAGCAGCTCTGCACCAGCCCTGCCCATCCAGCCTGTGCCCCTGCCAGGACAAGCTGAGCAGCTGCCTCAGGCATTGCTCTCAGTGTCTACCCACAGCCGCCTCACTGGGCAGGATTTTATACATGAGAGCACGAAAAGGTGATGGCAGCTTGTGCCAGAATTCCCAGAGCTGTGTGAAATAACTTCCACAGTCAGTGCACCATGGCCCATGGCAGGTACCCTTCCATCTCACTTATATTTTCACTCTGGAGTACCAAGCACAGGGTGAAAATAAAATGCCTTTCCTGAAAGGCAGCCAAAAGCCAAGGTCTTCAAATTCCAATTTATGTTCAGAGCTTTATCACAATTTCATACGAATAACAATTTCATACAAATAAGTTCCTAGCATAGAAATTCCCACAATTGCTTCAAGGTGCATTTAAAGTCATTTATCTCCATACGGGTGCATTGCCCTCAGAACTTTAAAGGTTTACCTCAATATTAATCCACAGTTTGTGGTTACAAGGACAGAGCAGAGATCCTCATGTAGCTTCAGCCCCAAGACAGGCCACCACCTGTGACAGGGGTGACAGGTGACAGTTCCCTCCAGATCCCATAAAACCACGAGCACTGAAGTTACTGTGGCCTACACCCTATAGGGTGGAAGTCTCAGTGGACGTGATGACTTCCAGTTCCTGAGGCACACGGGCCAAGGGAGATGTTGGGAAGTGCTGCTGGAAGGCTTCTCTGTCAGGGTACAGTCCCATTCTAATTCTGGGGATTTTTTAGCAAACTCTGCTTGCATGGAGTTTTTTACCCTTTACAGTGTCTGTCTCTCTCTGTCTTTTAAACAGCATTTGTTGCAATCAGAACTACCTCAGAACTGACAAATCTCACTGTGGGGATTATCTAAAAAAAACCAATCAAAATTCTTTGTAGAAATAAGATGAGGTTTTTCAGACAGCTGCAGTTCCCACCTGTTTGCAGCATTTAGGGGAAGAAACTCAGAGGTGTTTTCCCAGATGTGCCAAAGTGATTTCTGCATTACCCAGTCCTTCTGCTCTCCCTTAGCACAGAAGGGAGCTGTCACTGTCAAACCTGAAGGGACAAGTCCCAGGGGATGCTCCTCCTGAGCCCACAGCACAGCCCCTTTTCCATGCAGGCTGGAAACCGAGCCCATGGCACCGTCAGGAATCCCTGTGACAGCCCAGGGAGCAGCAGCACAGCAGCAGCAGCAGCACAGCAGCAGCACAGCAGCAGCACAGCAGCAACACAGTTCTTTTCTACAGTCAGGGCTGCTTATTACCTTGAATGCTAAATCAGAGCTACATGTATTTTCAAAGATCAAAAACCAACTCTCTTCCCCTGCCATAAAGCTAAACAGAATTCTGCTTGCTGTTTCCAAGCAGGCTGGAAAATCACACAAAGTATTTTTTTACTGGTTTTTAGCTGTTGTCCCTTTTTTTTCATATGACTCATGGGCCCCAAGAGCAGCCTCAGCTCAATGAAACAGGAGTCAAAGACTACACAGCCCTTGCTGAGAAGAAACACAATTAATTTTGAAATTTCCTATAGGATTTATAATTAGCAGAACCTGATTTCTACAGCTGAGGTATCCCAGACCTCAGGTATCCCACTTCCGGAGCCATGATGCTTTTATTCAACCAGAACAGCTTCTTAATCTTGATTTTTTAGGCTCAGGTGTTTGTATCAAAAGCCTACTTAGTAATAATGTGAAGCAAAACAGGGATAATTCAAACCAGACATCTAAACCCAAGGAAAGTCAGAGGGGAGAAAAAAAAAAAGACTTGTCAAAGCCAGCAGTGGGTAAAATATTTGGAATCAGTCCTCAGCCTTGCTGATTTTAGGGGAGGACACAAAAACACAAGGGTGAGAATACAGCACATGTAACCAAACAGCTGCCTGCTCTAGTTAAACACTGTGGAAGGAAACATTTCCTTGCTTCACAGTGTGCCCTCCTTTCCACTGGTAAAGTCTGGAGCTCTGGAAAGAGCACACGGTGATCTGCTGGTCCAGAGGGCTCTGAAAGCAGAACCCCACCACTGTCCTAAAAATACATACAGCTTCTCTTTGCTAGTATCCATTCAGCCTTTTGTGTAAGAAAAATGGGAATATGTTGGTTGGATCTCCAGACCCCCGCCCTTAGAAATGGACATTCATACCTGGAACACAGACCTGCTAACTCACCTGTGGAATATTTTCCCGAGGTAGGAGGGGACGTCCTGGGCTGCAGCCGTCAGGCACCGAGTGCTGCCCGAACCAGGAGCCTCAGCACAGAAGAAGTGATGGGTCTGTGGAGAGCTGAGAGCCCCAAAGTGAGCCACAAAGCTGCCAGCTCCATGTAGAATGCCACTCGGCAGCCTCACCATTCTGAGGGAGCTGGAAAACAAAAAAGTTCATGTTTAGATTAAGAAAATGGAAAAGGGAAGGGCAAGGAAAGATATTTACTGAAACCATTTTACATTTTGTCCTCAAACATAGATGAAGCAAAAGTGCTGTGTAAAAATCACAGCACGAAACGAAGCCCCAGAAGAAGAGCTAAAGGCTGGGCCTCCCTTCCTTTAATTTATTTCCAGAGTTATTCAGAATGCAGACACTCAATCCCCAATGTAAACCTGCAGGCAACATTATTTATCCTGAGGAAGACCCGAAGACTAATGCAATTCAAACTGTGATTTTTGTCTTTTCCTTGTGTGGGGTGGGAAGGAAAGAGGGATGAAATTGCTTTCTGCAGATATCAATACGGACTTTAAGGAGGTGGAGGGGCTGTGACTGCTCCTCCAGCTGCTTCTGAGGCTGCTCTGAGTTCTCCTTGCCAGAGCCCTGAGCTGCAGCCTCTCCTCCAGGCAAAGAGAGGAAAGGGCCGGGCTGAGGCTCACAGCCCCCACTTGCAGGGCCCGCTGTGCCCAGGCTGTGATGTAAAGGATCCTTCCCCCTGCTCCTTGTGAAGTGTCCTGCCAGCACTATTTCCATGCCACTCCCTTCTGCTCTTTTCCCTCTGCCAGCCCCAGCTTCTCTGCTGTGTTAGGCAGAAGTCATTTATCCTCACTTGAAAGGTTCCTTGGCGGTCACTCCCCCCCATTCCCTCCCACGCAGGATCCAGGGAAGGACCCTGCACCCCTGCAGCGCCCTGGGACAGCAGTGACCATTTATTTCCTGTCCTTTGGCTCTCCTCCCTGCCCTTGGCACAGGGGAATGGACGGATGGCCCTGGAGGCAGGGCTGAGGCAGTAACCCCTTGGAGGGGACACAACCTCCTGGCACAGGCCTGAGCAGTGATGTGCACAAAGGACCCGCAGCCCTTCCGAGCTAAACAACAGAGGGAAATAAATAACAGGGAAAGAAGGAGAAGAGTGGACAAGCAATATGAAATATTTCCTGATTTCTGTGGAAAATGCTACCCCAGTGCACCGTGCACTGATGAATGAGAGAAGTAGGGCAGACCAGGAGGTTTTTTCCAAACCCTTGGCAGCCATCAGCTGTCCAGAGCTCGGAATGACACCCCGGGTGCAGCTCCTGAGGCCAGGGCTTTCTGACCCACCCACTCAAAAGAGGAATCCTCAAACACCAGGCCCAGGGGACAAGGAAAGGAGCCCAGCACAGCCTCAGATATAAATGGATCCATCTGTCAGCGGTGACTTTACAAGGGAATTGCCCCCAGTTATGCTAGGAACAGCTTTTAATGAAACACGGATTTAAAGTACTACAGAGAGGGGGGAAATGTGCAAAGGAAATTCCTGATACAATGAAAACTGAAAGGAGCGATGGATTCTGCTGTTCCAATTGCAAAGGGGACGGAGGGTTTGGATAGAGGAGACAGTGGAGCAGCTTTTGGGGTATAATTTGGCTGGGATAGGAATCCTCTCCTCAAAAGTCCAGCCTGTCCCCAGAGGCCATTTTCAAGGTGCCCGTTCAGATGAGAAATAGCAGTGCCGTGTGACAATTTTCTGGTGGCTGCAAAGCAATGTTCATTACGTTGCCTTCTTGCCACAGAAGGGACCAGCCACGTGTCAGAGGGTGGGGAGGGTGTTGGAAAAACTGGAGTTAGGTACCTGAACTGAAATCCTTCACACAGCCCACACTCAGCCCTTCCTCCTATGACAGGAAGTCAATGAACCCACGGCAAGGGGCAGGCAAATATTTTTTCCCCCAATTTCTTCTGGGTTTTGGTGTGAGAGAGGCGTGGGTTGCACAGGTGGCCCCAGAGCTGCTGAATCTAGACCTGAGGCAGTGTGACACATTTCTCTGGGCAATGTCTTGGAGCTCTCCCCACACCTGGCTGCTGGAACACACCACGTTTGTTGGGCAGGCACCAGTGCTGCAGCCCCAGAGAGGGGTTTAATAATGCTGAATTTAAAGTTATTAGAAATAGCGTGTCTTTCACAAGTACACAAATACTGAATTACTGCATCTCTTTGGGATGGGCTGAATTACGGGTAGTGCTTCACTGACTGATTTATGCTGGAAATCCACATTTACAGATTATATTCACCAACAAACTCGGCCTAGGTGTGACAGAGAAGTTATTGCTGTTACTCAGGAAATGTTTTCTGCCTTGCCTTTTGTTCTGGGCACGCTGCACCAAACGATGAATTTCCCACAGCAAACAGCTTCCCTGAAACATCTGCTGCCAGAAAGTTTGTCTGGAACTTGCCATGATGGATGAATTTCTGACAGGTAATTGCCATTCAGGTCAGATGCAGACAGATTTAGTACCGGGAAGCTCCCAGTTTATTAAGATCACCACTGATTTATTCAAGCACCCCCCTCTCTTTTCACCACCACTCAGAAATGAATCAATTGGGTTTGGTGCTCAGGGCTCACCCAGCTGCTCATGACATGAAATGCATCAGCTCAGCCCAACTTCATCTGTCTCTCTGCACTTCTGAAGGACCCATCACCACAGCACCCAGTCACCACCCAACCTGACATCTGCAGTTTGTGTACACCAAAGAAATCCTACAGTTTGGATTCGTTACATGCTTTAAACTCCTCAGGCCTACTAAAGCAAATTGTCATCACACCTATGAAAACTGTGTTTCTATTACATAGAAATAGAATCCCAGGCCAGCTGTTTTGGGCTGTGCCAGCTTTAGACAGAGGGAACTTGCATCCATCTCCTTAGGTTCCAGACAGAAAGGACTGATCACACCCAGACATCTGATTTTCAATCCAGGTTGATTTGAATAATGTCATTGGCACGTGGTACTCCCACCAGTCCTCATGAGGTAAGCAAAGATTGACTGCAGATACTGCCCTCAGCTCTGGCTGTTCCCAGACAGATTTCCCTCAAACCTTTTGGAAAGTCAGGCATTCACTTTCTTTGCAACTCACATCTGTTCCCACAAAGAATTAGCTGTGCATGGATAGCAGCCACATGACCTCCAGCTAATTTTCTTACACCTTTCCCAGACTAAACAGAGCCAGGGAAGTGTGGGACATGCTTGGAAAAGAGCCACAGAAAGCTGAGGTGAAATGAGCAGGGCAAATGCAGACACTGAAAGCACCTCTACCTGATTTAGCCCAGAACTGGCATTGCAGTTCTTTCAGAATGGCCACTGAACTGACTAAAGGAGAAAAATGGCACAAGGTAACAGATTATATCATGCCTTGAAAAGAACCTAAAAAGCACAGCTGCCACACCTGCTCTGAGATCCCAGCATTCCCTCCTGCTGGGGACACAAGCAGGCGTCCAAAGCCAAGTGGGACAGAGCACTGGTGCTCCTCTGAGTCCTGTTCACCTGCCAGTTACTTCCAGCCCAGAGGGATTTCCCAGCCAGATGTAATTCTGTGCTTTTACTGTCAGAGGTAAGCACCATCAGGCTCATGTGGATACAAGTGTCTGCTCCAATTTGTTTGTCATTTAAAGTCCATTTGGGATGCTGCTCTTGCCCTAAGCCATTGAGTGTTTCTTTTATTATTCCATATGCCAGTAAGTGGAGTAACTTAAAGCAGGCACCTGAAGGCACGTCCACAGTGGAGCAGGCAGCACGACCTCCTGCTGAAAACAACAATCAGACTGGTTTTAACAGTGATTCCCAAACTGGTTTAGCTCTTTGCTGGAGGGCACAGAGGCCACCCCAACGCTCTTTGTGTCTGTGCCCCAGTGAATTGCAGAAACGTTAATGGCCCCAGAAAATCCCTGCCATTCCTGCCACCACAGAGCTTTGGGTGCTGCCTGTGCCACCCTGCCCACCTCCCTCTGGCTGTCCCAGACATGGATTGAAGTGGCTGGGATTACTCCATCCCCCCCATTCCTGGCTGGCTGTGACTCTCTGTGTCCCAGGGGCTGCTGTGACTGTCTGAGCCTGTGGCTCTGGTTCCTGGCAGCTGGGCCACCTCTCTGTGCCAGCCCAGCCAGGTGGGAACAGCTTTGCAACTGTGATCACTGCTCACCCCCTACACTGAGCAGGAGAGGAGAGTCAGGAGTCTTGTTTTTACCCATGCTCATCCTTTCTTTAATTACATGGGCTGCTGCAAAGAAATCCTTCTTCTGCCAGAGCTGCCCAGGTATGAAAGCTCATCTGTCCTTTAATGATTCTAGACAGAAGATAATGGATTCTCTCTCACCTACAAACAGTGGTTGAAATCTTTAGTAAGCCAATATTTTAAGGAAAGAGGGCCCACAGTGTCTCTGACAAAGCTGATTGTAGAACATCAGAATGAGGATACACCTCCATTAAAAAAGGTTTTATAGGGAGTGAAGATTTATCGTGGTGTTCTGCTGATTCATGAGGAGTAGATATGGAAATGCATTTCGGGCAGCCACTCAGGGATGAAATATGTAGCACATAATGCATTTGTCTGTAAGACAAACACGTGTGTTGGCTGATTAAAAAAGATATACGAACTTTTGAAAAGAAAGAAGAGGAAATTATTCTCAGAAGCAAACCAGTTAATTGTAAAACCAACAGGAAACAAAATGTATCTTGAGTAACCACAATTTTTGCTAAACAGGAAACTTTCAGTATTAATTTCTAATGAACTTCATATGCAACTGACCAGTATAAACTGAATATTTGAAAGGCACCACTCTGCTGGTTCTGGGCCCCTGTCAGTGTCTGTGTGGCACAGCAGGCACAGGCAGGTGGGTCGGGGTTTTTGATGACTTTTTTTTAAGTTATCATCAGAATCTGTCAATCTAAGAAACAATTTTTTTCAGAAAGAGCACTTCAGCTTCAAGCATTCAACAAGTGATAAATGAAGCTTTTCAAAACCAGAAGTGTCTACATGTGTTGATAAGGTGTGAATGCTGATGGATAAATGGCATCTTCCTGAGAATGCCAAATTTCAGCTTGTCCTCACATGTAAATTATTTGCATTTTACAGATGTGCTGATGCCTGTCACATGTTTTTTGGAGAAGAAAATAGAAATGCTAA